GGGCCCGCGGAGAAATCGCCCCCCGAGGGAGCTGCTGCACCGGCAGAGTGTGTGTCTGTGTGGGTGCCTGCGGTGTGCAGGGTGTAGTCGCAGCCTCGGGGATCCCTCCCCATTCTCTTGAGTGGGAAATGCCCCTTCGCAGCTTCCCTCTCTCACTCCCCGCCTGGGCCATACGAGCTCATCTCGGCCGAGCCAAACTGGCCGCTGGCATAGTGGGCATCCCTGTGTAACCCACTTCAGCAGCATAACCCCCAGCAGGACATGGAGCTAGGTGTGATTATATACCTTAGGCATTCCTCACACCAGTAAATTAGTTGTGCCCTTGTATTTCAGTTGTGTAAACCGTGCTGCTCTTTGTGATACATCTCAAGGCACAAGGTATAGAAGTTGGTCCTAACTTTCTGAAGATACATTAACTGAGCTTATGTTATTCCTTTGATCCAGGTAGAGATCTTGCAACCCAAAGATGTCAAGACGCAGGTAAGTTGTTAGCATTGTAATACACTCAGCTTATCTGCATTCATCTATCAACTGCTGTTCTCCTAATGCCTGATGTCTTTTTGCTCTTTGTAGCAGCCGTTTGCAAGCTAAGAAGCAGCAGCCGCCACTGTCATGTCAAGAAGAGTCTCCGCAGGAACTGCAGGCATCAGAACATCTCCAGACCAGAAAAAGGAGAACAGCAGAGGTGACCAATTCAGGCAACTGGAAAAGTTCTTCAGTGTGTTTGGATGGGAGAATCTTTGTTGAGTTAGAACGTGGGGCAGAAGTTTGCTTTAGCTTTAGGAATGGGTGTGCTGGTTACTGTCAGCGTATTGATGTGTGTGTCTCTTCTCAGCAGGAGATTAAGAAAAGAGAAGATGGGAAAATTGCTAAAAAACATCAATATGAAATTAAGGTAATCCAGTCTTGCATTAGTCCCAACTAGGTGAGGGGGTCCAAAGGGTATATGTTGGTGGGTGTGAAGTCGTGCTTCCACACCAGAAAACATTGAATAGGGGAAGTTTCAACCTTCTGATATGAAGAACTGTAGGAGCACAGCACCTTAGCATGTTTGTATACATTTTGGGTTGGTTTTTTTTATGCATGGCTCTGTTGCAGATAAAGGACCCTTCGATTTGGAAACCACTACAGCGTAAAGTTAGGTATAAAAATGAGAATAAAGCCAGATATTTCAGAATAATTGCATATGCAGAGCAGTAAGGCCTAAGGGCAAGTCTAAACAAGCTCATTGCACTTGTTTTAACTTAAGGTGTGGTTTCACGGCCATTTAGTGAAGACGTCTCATAGCCATGCAGGCCCTCTTTACTTTCATTTAACTGTTCTTTTGATTATTTAAATCAACCTAGGAATGTGTTTTGGCTAACATGGGCTACTCCTAAACCAAGTGAGAGGCTAAAATATTTATTTAGTAAAATAATGTAACTTTCTTTTTTGAACAACTTTTGTTTGCAGTTATCCTGTTTGTAAAGACTAATGAGACTAATGGCTGTGGTGAAGCAAAACCCTTCTGATTGTGAAGTTGTGAACTTGCCTTTGCAACTTTTGTGTAGGGAGAAATGCTGTTTGACTACATCAGCTGTACTTGGGGTGAAACTGCATGTCACAGCTTTGCTTTTGCCGAAAGGGGGAAATCCTGATCCCCGTCTTTCCTTTGATAACTGGCCATGTACTCCATCCCATGCCCTGCTCGATTTTTGGTTCTCCTTAAATGGAGTGGTGCGCAGGTTCCCTTGCTAATATGGTACTATGAAATAAGTTAATGTTCTGCCAGGTTAGTGAGTTGAATCAACCCAGCAGAGGGTCTCCTAAGCATCAAAGCTGACAAAAGAAGGGACCTGGGCAGTGAGGATCACAGGAGAGAAGGAGTAGGATCTCCTGTTTTTTTTTGTGGGTTTTTTTTTTTTTTTATTATTTTATTTTTGGTAGCTGTGTGCTGTTCAGATCAGTTCTGCTGTAATATGTAACTTCACTGTTTGGCTGTAAAGAGATTTAGAAATACTAGAGGAATTGTGTGTAGTTTAGCTTGCAGAACGACTATATAGAAAAAGCTTCTATGTTCAGGGGCAGAATGGCTATATAGAAAAAGCTTCTATGTTCAGGGGCAGGTGTTGCCATTCTTTATGAATGGGATCCCCTTCCCTAACTCCACAGAGCATAATTAAGGCTCTCTGTCACCATTTTGAAGGCTGTCAGCCATTACAGCATTTAATGTGCTCCATGCATTTGATACCTCCTTACTTGTATTGGTTATGTATAACCAAATAAATATTAGTGAAACAAGTTAGAGTTAACACAAGTAATCTAGAATTCCTTCTCTGAAGCTTTCTGTGTGAACAACTTTGCACTCTTCTCCTTTTGAGTCATTGCATCCCATATTTGGCTGAAAGATAGTTCACAGCTGCTGCTTGCTCAGTAGGTATCTAGCTTTGGAGCTGAGATGGGTGGCTCCTCTCTGGAGTGCTTAATTGGAAGATAAGTAGCTGAATTTTCACTGAGAGACAGTAAAACCTCCACCCTCCTTTCTTTTCCCTCTGAGAAGATAAGTAGATAGGACCAGAAAACTAATGTCCTGTGTTTTAGCAGCAATGAGTGCCTTTACCTTGCATACTATAACGGAGCATCTCAAGCAATGGGTAGGTTGCTTGTGAGTTCATAAACTAAAAACAGTTGTCTTCCTCAAAGCTGAGTTTCCCAAATTTGTTGAATTTGTTTATGCATGTTCCATCTTGACTGCGAAACGTTTTGTTGGCATTTAATCTCTTTGTCCTTGGTTTCAGTACACAAATTGCTGCTGTGGTCCAAAGAGACTAATATATGTTACATACATTGTTGTTGTTACTGTAATTTACCTCTTGTCTTTCTTGCTCTCATAGTAAAATCAGCCTTTAAAAGATACCTTGTTTATGTTGCAGAGTTGTTGGCCGCCCACGATAACAGGAGGCATCTCGCCTTGCATCATTATTGAAACGCCTCACAAAGAGTCAGTAACCACTGACTTCTCCAGGTTCAAAAAGTACCGGTTCAGAAACCTCTTCATAAACCCATCACCTCTGCCAGAACTCAAGTAAGTTTACCAGATGCAGATCTGTTGTTGTATTGTGTTTATATAACAGTGAGCAGTAAAAAAGCCATACCTCTACTTGTCTCTTGTCTCAGAGACAATTTGATGTCCAAAAAAGACAAATTGTGGGGTTTTTTTATCCTCCCCAATGTAACAAATGCACCAGACAGATCATTTTTGCCTTTTAAAGCTGTCCTTTTATAACTTAAGACCATGGACTCTTAAGTGGTTAAGAGGCACATGGTAGTTAAACTCAACTTTTTATTGGAACCAAGTGAGCAAAAAATATGAAGCAAATTTTTCTTTAAAAACTTAAAAATGTACAAGTCTGCAAATAAACTTGAGACAGTAGCTTGCTAATGCAGTGTAGCATGCTCAGTGCAGTCATAGTTCTAGGAAACTTCCCTCCTGTGGAGGGATAGATGGACTCATAGAATCAGGTTTTTTCATTTCTGAGTTTCTTAGCTGTTCAGGTGTGTTAGATGAGTGCACTGGCAGCAGTTTGTATCAGCCTGATGTTTAATGAAAGGGTTGTTAAATTTTCTGCAATGCTTTAGGGAAAATTGTGAGGTGAATGAGAAGCAGAACATGAAGCATTACATTAAGAGAACCTTTCTAGATACACTGTGTTTCTATGTGTTCTGGCCAAAACTCGATCAGAACAGGGAGGAGCATGGTAGTATTTTGGCTCAGTACAAAGTAGTAGGTCTCTTGCAGTCTTTTTCACAGAGTTTCAAACTCAACTGCTTTTTTTCTCTCTATTACTCCCAAGCCTGCTGCACACTGCTTCAAAGAGCAGCATGCTCTGCACCTAGCACATCACATTTTTGTGTGTGTTGGAAAGCTCAGTGCAAAGGAGATTTTCGGGGTTTTTTGGTTTGTTTTGGTTGTTTTTTGGGTTGTTTTTTTTTTGTTTGTTTGGTTGGTTTTTTAGCTTAAAAACAAAGATGGTGAATGAGGAAATCTCATGCACTGCTTTAGCAAGTTGCTGGAAACTGCTGGATCCCAAAGATATGTTCAGGTACAGAATTCCATGAAAGGAGTTTGCTGCTTGACAATTCACCCTCTTGTCACTAGGCATCTGGTAAAGCTGAGCTCCATCCTTTCCAATTAGCTGAATAAGAGGATCATTTACTCTCTCCTGTCTTTTTCCTGCTTTCCTCACTGCTGTAGGAAGATCATAATACATTTCTTGATGCCTGCCTACTTAAATAGGGAAACTTGTGCATTAAACAAGCAAATACCTCTTCAGCTTTTAACTTAGGGTGGCAGCAGAATGGAACTGATGTGGTTAGAATTGGTAGGTGATACCAGTGATCAGGGCTATTTGTTCTCTCTCTGTTTCTGCTTGGAAAGGTGAATATGTAACCCCCAAAATTTTAGCAGGAAATCAGCATTGCATTGATTAACATGCTGTCCCTCTTAGTGGCTGTGGGGTGAGAAATACATCTAAGAAAAAAAAACATTAATTCGTAACAACAATAATCACAAATTAAAACCAAACCGTATTAGTGATATAGACAGATCTTCTTCCCAGGTAGACTTCGGTGCTAATAAATTATAAGTTAGCAGTAAAGAACTCATTTTTTTTTTTTTCCCACAATAGTCTGTTTCTGAGCCTCAAGGTAGGCTAGAAAAGGAAGGGATGGGTGAGTGGCTTTGAAACACCATCTGTAAATGTTCTTCTCAAACTAAACCGGACAACTTTGTGTATGCTTTATTTTGCTTGGAGTTAGGTGGGTTTTGTCTTATGGGGGAGGGTTTGGCTTTTCTCCTGTGCTCTGGACAGACACGTAAGTAGCCAAATAGGGAGCTGGTTGTATGTGTAACTTTGGGATGAACGCGTTCAGTTTTATTGGCTATTCTATCAAACTGGACTTGCTGATGATCTCGGCAAGCTGCTGTTGTGGTGATGTAATATGTTCAAAGTATACCTGCAGTTTTATAATTACCATGAGGATCTTTTAGTATGGTAGTTCTTCTTTTTGTTCCTGAGTATCTGTAAACAATATATAATGTTTTTGTACTCCTTTTGTGAAGGTGTATATATATACTTAACAATGCTTTGTGTAACTTTATTCTGTAGCTGGGGAAATTCCAAAGACGTCTGGCTCAACATCTTGAAGAAGGAGAACAGATATGCTCATTGCAAACATTTCACATCACTACATTCCAGTTTGCAACCTCACATGAGATCAATACTGTTAGACTGGCTCTTAGAGGTGTGTTCTTTTAATTACTCTGCCATGTGTTATGCCTGGGAAGTAGGCAGATGAAAGCACAGATTTTACATAAAGATCTAATGGCAAAATGTGCAGTAATGACAAAAGCTAAACCTAGTTTGCAGCAGAGGGATTACAAATTACTGATCCTCTTGGTGAGAGCTACATTCTGGTCTTCCCTGGCACGAGATGCTGAACCTTGCATACAGGGCAGTGAGTAATTGATAGTACTTAATTTTCTGCTCTTGCCACACTACTTCCTGGGAAGGGGAAAATCTAGTATTAAAATATTAAAACCTGTATTAAAATTGTTATAGACAGATTAGTTATGGAGCTCTAACTTTACATCTTAGATCGTATCTAAGCCATTTGACAACTGCATCTGGATTGAGGACTTGAGTTATCACTCTGGCCCTGTCTACATGAAGAGCTCTTAGATGTCAGACCCTGACACTGTTTTCTGACTTACTGCTGAATTTTTAATTCTCTCTTATGAAGAGAGCAGAAGAAAGTGGCTGACACTGGGGGGTTCTTGATATAAACGGGTTCTTGATATAAACAGGTTCTTAGTTGAAAAGGATTACAAAGAAATCGTATCCGTATTCCAGTCTGATTGGTTTACTTCAGACTATTCCAGTTGTCAAACATAATGGAAGCTCTCGATCTTGGCAGCTTATGTGAAGGAATATTAGTGTTGTAACTGGAGAGCCATGTTTTGGAGGGATTTCCAAGAACTCTATATTGAGCATGTTCAGTCTCCACTGCCAAAAGCAATGCTTGACTCGTGCAATCCTTGCCCATCAGCAGAAGCGATCTTACAGGTTTACCAATCCCATATCAAGTACTCCAAGGAAGCAGATGTTACAGTGGCTCTCCTGTTGTCTTTTATTTTTTTAATACAGTCTGAATATCAAAACTATTCCAGCTGTGTCCTTCACTACCTCCTCCAGCGTGTGATTTACGTATTGCTATTAAATTGTTTCTTTTTTCCTTAAACTCTTAGGAAATCAATCATGCCATTTCCAAACAGAAATGTTAACAAGGGCCTTGTTGTCCAGCTCAGTGGTTCTGTATGCCACAGTGGATTAAAATCCCATCAACTTGGAGAGTTCTTCAGTAGCTCCTAGCATTGTCTTTTGTAACATCATAACCGAGATACTATTTAGCATGAGCAAGTATTATCATGTTTGGCCAATTGACTTTCATAAAAATTGTGCCTGATGTGTATGTCTTTAGTTCCAAATCTTGTTTGCAGCAGCAGTTATTAATATTGGAGTAGTGCATCAATTGGCAAATACTAGATCAGGCCTAAAAGTATGAACTGTTGTGTTACTGCCAACCAGTTGCATTTTGATGGTCAGGAAGGGTTTTAATTTGCTAACGAGCTTTCAGCCTCATGTTAGGAAGTAGCTAGTAGTGAGAGTTTGTTCTGACTTTGTATCCAAGTAAAATAATGAAGCACTTGGGATCTATTTCTTGGATATTCTTTCTTGCTGACTGTACATAGATTATAAGTAATTTATGGGTATCTAACTAGTTTCTAGTTTTGGAAGGGATACAGAGTTGCAGAGTTGTGGCAGACCCACCCAAATTCAGTTAGAGTTCAGAGGAAAGAGTAGGCCCCTGCAGAGGATCTCCAGGCCTGGGCAGTCTCCTTTCCTCTTCTGTTGAACTGGCACTTGAACCACGTTGACACAATGCAGGTATTGGAAGTTCTTCCTGCTGGGGAGCCCTGCAACTGCAGGGAGCAGATGGCCATTCCTGCAGTTTTGTTCCTGCTTAGTGAGGCTGTGGTGTGCCTGAGGGGCTGCCGGCAGGGCGCCTGGCAGAGCTTGCAGCTTCCAGCATCATTTGCTGTAGAGCCAAGGAATTCGGGTGTGCTAGTGGTTCTGCCCTGGGACAGACCTGTAGGAAGTACAGGGGGGGATCTGCTCAGTGACTTCAGCTTGAGGTGTGACTATAGGGTATTCTTAAGCAAGCACAAGTGGGTTTTTTTTATTGTTCTTTTTGTTTTCCCTCCCTTAATGAGTTCACCTTCTTTCAGTGGCAAGTTGTTTGTACTCACTTTTAGGAAAACTGGATGCTAGTTAGGTTGGGAAAAATTATACTTTGGAAGTACGTTAGGGCATCACAGATAATCTGTGTTTTGGTGGGAGCAAAGGAAATACTTTTTCCAGTCCCATACTAATTACTACGTGCCAGCACACCTGGATATGTGATAGTCTGTGTGTGCAAAAGATAAAACTGTGCATACTGTGTTTTATTATTAAGGCTTGAATACTCCAATGTGTGTACACAAGAGTTTTTTGACATTAAACTGGATTGGTTTTTGTTTTGTTGCAGGTATGTGAGGTGTATGCGCTCCACAGGGAAACCTTCTACCTAGCTCAAGACTTTTTTGATAGATTCATGTTGACACAGAAGAACATTAACAAGAGCATGCTTCAGCTCATAGGAATTACCTCATTATTCATTGCCTCCAAACTTGAGGTAAGAAGCTCTCTTACAAGGAGGAGGAGGATATTAAGTTTGGAATAACTAAAAAGACAGTGGTAACATGTTTATTTCTTCTGTCTGAATCTTTTGAACTTGGTGGTGTACATACAACACTGAAGGTCAGAAGGGGAAGCTTTTTTTCTCTTCCTTGAGTTGTGCGTATGTCAATCTCTTGGAGTGTAGTCTTTGTCCTCTCTTTCCTCAGCAGCAAGGAAAGAGACCACATAAACTTGAAAGGTATGCAAATGTGCTGGGAGTAGTTTTGTTTTGTTCTGTCATTTTCCAAATACACAGCAGTTGGCAAACAATCTCAGGAATGGGTGTGGGACTTGAACAGAGCCAAGCCCAAGTCTCACACTGCCTCTGCATCAGGCTGATATCCTTGTAAACCCATTCAAGTGGAGTTTCTGTCTTTTAGATTGTGATGATGGTGATGCATTATGGTGTGTACTGCATCTACGAGCCATTTGTGTATAGTGCATGGTAGGTTAGGCTGAAAGGAAAGCTTGGGATGTTGAGTTTCCATACTTGGCGTCCCTTGGATCTAGCATTACCTGAAGCGGAGGCAGTGCCCTACAATCAGTTGTCTGTCCTAAGGAAGTGCATGGGGCATCAGGCTAGCTGGTAGAGAAGCAGTTCTGTAGGGAAGTTCTCTTACTAACACACCTCTGCACCATGGATTTTGCAGCCCCAGTGGCTGTGGGATTTTTCTCTCATCTTTTTTTAGCCTTTGTTTGTTTGTTTGTTTTTTAATAATGAATCTATGTGACTACATGGGCACTGCCATTGCATATGGCCTGTCCCGGCGAGCCGTTTCTAACACAGCAAGGTGCTGTAGGAGAATTGGGGTGGTGTATCTTCTCAGCCATTCCATTTAATGTAATAAATGGTATAAACAAAAGGGTGTTTAAAAATGACTGCTTGGTCAGCATTTATTTCCCTCAGAGCTAAGAGCTGCAATAAATCTATTGTGTTTTACCACAGATAACATATAACAAGCCTACTTGGTTTTAGTATCTCTTCATTCTGTAAGTTTCAAGTCACTTCATATAACAAGGAAATCATTGTTCTAGGGAAAGCAGACAGGCTGAGAGAGCTGGGGTTGTTCAGCCTGAGACGAGAAGGCTCAGGGGAGACCTTAGAGCAGCTCCCAGTGCCTAAAGGTGCTTCGGGCAACCAGGTCTAGTGGAAGGTGTCCCTGCCTGTGGCAGGGGCTTGGAACTAGATGAGTTTTGGGATCCCTTTGAACCTGAACCATTCTGTGATTCTAGGGTATGATAAGAGATGTTAATATGTCAGTATGGACTGAAAAGTATTTGCCAGCATCTTCTCAAGCTTTCTCAGCATTGTAAGGCACTCTGACCTTCACTTTCCTCTCCCTCCCTTTAAAGGAAATCTACGCTCCTAAAATACAGGAATTTGCTTATGTCACTGATGGTGCTTGCAGCGAAGATGATATTGTCAGAATGGAACTTATTATGTTAAAGGTAAGAACTTTGCTGTGTTTAATTGCTGGCTGACTGTCCAGCCAAGCCTTGTATTTTAATGTCACTTTAGAAAAGGGAAATGTTTTGTATGTCCCTGTGTCTGCAAAACCTTCATGGCATGGCAGGGGGTTGGAACTACATGATCTTAAGGTCCTTTCTAACCCAAACCACTCTGTGATTGTATGATTCTATGTGCAGTGGGTCTCTAAAGCCTTGGCTGGGATGAAGTCCTGGTCTGTTAGGAAAGGAGAGGTTTCTCTTGTTTGGGGGAAAGCCATGGGGCAGACCAGAAGGCTGTCACTGGAATGTGCTGCACTTGCCAGGGCCCTTTGCTGTCTGGGTGCAAGGGCCTGTAGGAGAGGCAAGGGAAGAACTGACGCTACTCCACGCTCTTTGTGTTGGAAAGGAGTGTGTAAGCACTCCTTCTGCGTTTGTTCTTCCTTGATAGATAAGAGCTGCAGGTTCAGGCAGCTTGATTGAGGGCTTGGGGAAATACTCTTAATTTCCCAAGTTCTGAATGGGGAAGATGTAAGATCCAGCTGCACAATTGTAGGGATATCTGTTAGTGCTGGTTGTAACACATCCTGATCAAAGACTAGTGAGACTGCCATCTAAAATGAGTATCTGTACTTGAAATTGTACATGATCACCAGTGTCTTTTGAGGATCTGTGCAATACGCTGTGCAAAGTTGGAGGAGAGGTGTGGGAAAAGAGACCAGAGCATGAAACTGTCCTTGTGTGGCTTAAGGTGTGCAACTGTTTAATGTTTGCAGGCTTTAAAATGGGAACTCTGTCCAGTGACAATTGTCTCTTGGCTGAACCTGTATCTTCAAGTGGATGCTCTGAAGGATGTTCCAAAAGTGCTGCTACCTCAGTATTCTCAGGAAAAATTCATTCAGATAGCACAGGTAGGTTGTAAACTGCATCAGTAGATGCTTTGTGGAGTGACTGCCAGCACAACTGAGTGTTGCACCCCAGAGCCATTCAGGAATGCTTTCCCTTGTTTCACCTCGCCTGTTACTTTGTTAAGGAATGTGCAAGTTTGACTCTGCCAGAGAACTTCATCCTCAGTTTTGAGGACAAGCAGCCATGTGTTGCTTGTCTCCCTGCTCAATACTTCCTTAAAGTACTTTCCTGTACACTGGAAAAATAAAAATCCCTCTCGTTTGGTTCTTGATGGCTGTGCACTGCAGTGTTCTGTAAACAGTGGCAACAGCTCTGAGAGGAGGGGGGTAACTTAGGTGCTGTGAACAGTTAACTGTGTATACCTGTGCTGTCTGTAGCAGCATTGCTGTGTCATTTGCCAGGAGGCAGTCTCTGGGGCAGACACGAGTTTGAAGCTACTGTGGTCCTGTTTTTGTGGGCATGTGTTGTGTCCAGCCTCAGGGAGGTTGCTGAAGAGCAGACTGGTCTGAGTCACTGAGCTGCTACGTAGTATCTTCATTTAAGAAAGTACCTTCCTGGAGCTGTGCTGAGAGTTTAAAGGTGTGCTTCAGTCCGTGCAAGTAAAGTGTCTTGCATGTGAGTGGTCACAGAGTTATGCAAACCACTTTAGCTGCCACTGGTGCCAAAACTAAATTAGATGGGTGCAATACATGCTAAAAAGCTCATCCACGTTCCAGAGCAGAGGCTGTAGGAGGACTGCTGCGTGCAGGGCAGTTTCTGAGGCAGGATTATACTGAAGTATCATCTTGTTGAAGTTTCTAAGTAAATCTTACTTTCTCACTATTTCCTCAGCTGTTAGACCTGTGTATTCTGGATGTGAATTCTTTGGACTTCCAGTACAGAACACTTGCTGCTGCAGCGCTCTGCCACTATACCTCAATTGAAGTCGTTAAGAAAGCTTCAGGTAAGAAGCTTTTATAAAGCTTGGTCGTGTCAGGTGGGGAATTCTGGAAGCTGCTGCGTGCCTGAGGTCACTATGAGCATATGGGTTTACCAGGCTGCCAAAAAGCAAAAGCTACACAGACACCAACAGTTTGTTCTGTTCTGGGTTGGGTCCCATCCTCCTCACCCCCAATTTTACTTCCTTCCTACCACTATTTCACATGTTACAAAGACTCAAAAAAGAAGGAACACTGTGAGAACCATGGTCTTCACTAAGGAAATGGAAGAGACTTACCCTTCTTGCTCTTGGGGTGACACTGCTCTGACTTCCAGTGAGTTTGGGGCTCATTAGCTATAGGTGATCTGGCTACTTCTAAAATGCAAGTACTAAGCAGCCACCTCTGCCTGCCGGCAGCATTCAGTTAACCCCTGTGTTCACTCCAACCAGCCTGTGCCTTACAATGTGGGGACTGTAACCACAGTGTAGTGTTTTCTGAACACAGAATCTTGTGTTCAAGCTGAAAAAGGCAAGTGAGACTCCCCTGTAAGTCACAGTGCTGCTTTGCTCAGGAGGCCTGTGCTCATCATCCTCAGCCTCAACACTTGTATGTAAGGAGCACAGGGAAGTGGTGGGAGTTTCTGGGAGGATGTTTCTCAATTTATCTGCAGTATTTATTGGTGTTTTATAACTTACAGCCATACTAGAACACTGTGCAGCTCTTTTGAGTTCTAAATACACTCCTGTGTTCTGCTCTCTAGGCTTAGATTGGGACAGCATCTCAGAGTGTGTGGAATGGATGGTTCCCTTTGTGACTGTGGCAAAAAAAGCCCCTGTGAAGCCGAAGAACTTCAAGAAGGTTGCGGTAGAGGATCGCCATAACATCCAAACACACACAAATTACTTGGACATGCTGGTAGGTGGTTTGTGGGCTCAGGGTTCAGGCAGTTGAGAGCAGGTTACACACCCCTTCTCCTGCAGCCAGGCACCTCTCTGCTCGTGCCTGGCCTGGCTCCTCTGCAGCCAGTGCTTCTGGCCGCTTACTTCTGGCTCCTGCTTGCTGATGCCATAAACCAGATGTGTTTTACTGTACCACTTGCAGGCCACAAGCAAGGATTTGAATTAGAAGTACTGGTGATGTGTTTAAAAGAGGACAGTCTTTACACTGTTCTGTAACAGCACCTTGGGGTTTTATATAGTGTCCTAGATCTCTGGAGTATGGTACCAGCAGTGTGAGAAGTGCTGCTGAGCACTAGTGCAGCAAGCGTATACAACATGTCATGGGTATTAACTGTTATTCTCGTCCCTCACTATGCAGGAAGAAGTCAACAGTGGCGTAGCATCTACTGCCCCAGGTCAGTTATCACCTGTGTCAACAGGAGGAATAATCACCCCTCCCAAAAGTACAGAGAAGAAATGAAATATGGACAACCACCATCACACACAGAACAGGATTTGGTGCTTCAGAACAAGACCACGCTAAAGGTGACTCATGCTCTTACTGCTGCTTGAGACCTGAGCAGTATGAGATGCAGCAGATGCAAATTGAGACTGGTGTCCTCCTGCAGCCTTGATGAGAGGCCAGGCGGCAGCCCCTGTGCCACTGCAGGGAGCCGGCACTGCTCCGCTCCCTTCTCACACACAACTTAGTTCAACTCTGACCATTCCTAATTTATGAATTTTAAGAACTTTTTTAAAACGGCTGCATGGCAAAGTTTGTCTGCTCAGCTTTACATGTCAGACTTGCTTTATACAGCAGAACTTAGCGACAGCTTGTACATATTACCTCTTCTTGACTTGTTCCTTTCTCTTTTCTTGGTAAGGTCAGAGTTTAATGCCTGTCAGTCAGGGTGTTAGGGAGGTCAGGGTGGGAGCAGTTCACTTCCCTGACACCACTCCGCCCTTGCAGTGCAGTGTAGCCACCCTGTGTCAGGTTCCAGCTCCACAGCAGGCTGACCCAGTTGTGGTGGCCTCTCAGGGCTGCCCTAAACCTCAGTTCTTGGTGCATCACTGACCTCAGGTAAGAGTACAAGCAGAAATGTAACCCCAAGTGGAAGAAGTTCAGTCCTGGAAGGAAGGAATTCTATTTTACACAACAAACATAAGAACTGGAGAGGGTATGGGAATAAGTGAGCTGCTCGTACTCTACAACCACTCACAGCCTAGGAACAGTATTTTAAAACAACTGTGGAGCTGTGTTTTATCAGTGTTTATAAACAGCATTAACTACTGTGTTTGCCTTGGAATATTCACTACCTCTGACTCACTTCTGTGATGAAGGGACAGTACTGGGAAAGGTGGGTATTGGTCCTCCTCCCTCTGGCACAACACTCCTGCCTGTGCCTCACACCCAGGGACCCGTGTTAGGGGACACTGAGCATCAGGTGCCCCCATCCACATCAAACTCCGCAAACTTGAATGCATGTCTTCTGCAAACAAGCCATGATGGAACTAGCTGAAGTTGCTTCCTACCTTCTGTACAATTTGTAAAATAAGGGTTTTATTATAAGATTTCATCTATTTCTAAAAAGAAAGATACTAGACTGTAAATGTTGTATAAAAATTTAAATGAATTTAAAAAATAAAAGTCTTGAAAGTTTTGTTTTTTTTTTTCCACTCCCACCCATTTTATCATGGCCTTCCAGTATTAGCCTAGAAGTAAAGTTTTGCCATTGCTTGAAGAAACTTCTTTTTCCTCCTCTGGGCAGCAAGCTGCAGGACATCCTCAGGATTACTGGCATTGAGCTCTGTCTGGCCAATGGCTTTTATCTGGCAACAAGAAGAGAGAGGGTAAGCAGCAGCGTCAGTGAGGCTGTGGCACTGCAGGGCCACTTCAGCACTAGTGCCACGGGTGATTTATTTCTGTGCCCACCACCACTTCCCATCAGCAGCCAGACTCCATTAACAATTACACAGTAACATTAAAACTGGAAGTGGTGATTCTTTTAAAAGACAGTTTCAGGGAAGTAAAGACAGACTAAGGTAGTCCAGTACCTAAAGGGGCCTACAGGAACTCTGGAGAGAGACTTTTTATACAAGTGCCTGTAGGGACAGGACAAGTGGGAATGGTTTTGAACTTACAGAGGGGGGATGTAGATTAGATATTAGGAAGAAGCTCTTTGCTGTGAGGGTGCTGAGGTGCTGGCACAGGGTACCCAGAGAAGCTGTGTCTGCCCCTGGCAGTGTTCAGGGCCAGGTTGGAAGGGGCTTTCAGCAACCTGCTCTAGTGGCAGGTGTCCCTGCCCGTGGCAGGGGGTTGGAACTAGATAATCTTTAAAGGTACCTTCCAACCCAAACCATTCTATGAAGCCCACTCCCCCCCAGCCCTCCCTGTGAACTCACTGCTATCTGCCTCTTGTCTGTCTCTCCTCGTTTGTGGTGGAGATCTGAGGGTGAGTCAAGAAAAGACACCTGGGTAGGAAATCAACTTTTCCCAGCCACCACAATCCAATGTGAGCGCCCGTGGTGGTATTCTAGTGAAAGGATACAGGTCAGGTACTCCAAGATGGTGACATCCCAGATGTATTCGTAGTAAGAATCCATGGCATCGTGGCTGAAAGAGCACACAGACAGGGTTACTAACACACTCATCAGCCCTCTACCTATAGCTAGAAACTTTGCTGTAACAGTCACCTGTTCTGCTCCTGAAGTGCCTTAAACGCAGTTTTGTAGTCTACCTCTCTGAGGAACTGGCAGAGGATAGCTACCTGTAAGGAGAGACTCAGGGTGGGTTTCAAAGCCTCAAATCCCCCCACAGAACCCCTCAGTAGTATTCCCCCTGCTCCAGACCTGAGCCAGAGCTCATTTCTACAGCAAGAACCTTCCAAGCACCTGAACTGCAAGGGCAGCCACGGCTCATGCTGCAATACCAACAACAGTAATAGCTAAAAGGAAGGTTACTCAGCCCTACAGAAAATAAATATATCTATATCCTAAGAGAAAAAAGGGACAAAGAAACCCCAGACTCTTTTTCTACTATTCACAGCAGTTCCAAGTATATCCCTATTTACTCACTAATTTCAGTCCTTTTAGCATCCTAACAGCAACAGTAAGAACAAAATCTGATACTGCAGATTGAATTTACAAGGAAAGCTGGATTCCATTTTAGTTTCCCCCCATTAACATCAAAATACAAACCAATGTTTTACTTACTGCCATATTTCACCTCCTACCTGGGTGTGACAGTTGAGTAAAGAACAGCATTTGATCATTCTTTTTATCACCTGAAGAATGGTTAAAAACAGAACACACATTTTGAAAAGCCAGTGTTGGAACACAAACAGCAACTTTAGTTCATGTTTTGTAAATGCAAGGGACCAGCTAAATGGCTGCCTACACCCTAACTCCCAACAGCTCCTGGGTTCTAACAAACACATCCACTGGTGGACTGAGCTGTCATCCCTGAGGACACCTCAGAGGGGTTATGGTGTGTGCTACAGCCGCAGTGCTGCATTTGTGGTGTGAGAGCCAAGCTGTGGCCTCTTAAAATGTGTCACCTTTATCTCCTGCTGCCTACTGACAAGGCCTGATGGAATGTGGGAATGGAACAGCACCGGGGCAGGCACACACTGGCACATGTGACAGAACACAGTCCCAGCTGGGATTCCTGCACCACTGCAGCCTGGCTAAAAGAAGGCACAGCTCTGATGGGGCTGTGAGCACTGAGGATGATCCCCGAACAGTGTCCGAAGCTCTCACGATGTATGAACGGGAACATGACGGGAGCAGCAGCTGGACAGGGCACATAAATAACCTCCTTCCTGGAGTCTGGACAGTTCCTTCCTACAGCCTGCAAGTAACACACCCGCTTCCTGATGAACCGGACTAATGCCTAGGTAAGGGTTACAGTGACTGAAAGGTGCCACTGAACACGCTGTGGCTGGGACCAAAGCCTCCCCCAGTACACACAGTTATTAAGGAGTTCTCACTCATGGCCCACCTGCAACTGAAGCCACTAGTTACACCCGCTTGCAAAGCGCACAGGTACATGCTGTGTGCAGTGCTGCACCTCTGGCTTGCTTCACTGGTGGTTACAATCCCACCCCTGTCCAGACCACCTTGCATGGCAGTACAAAATCTGACAAGCTACATGAGTGTGTGCCTAGGGAGCAATTTTGGCTCTACATAGAATTAGGATGCCAAATGCATCCAAAGAGAGATTTTTGTACATCCAAATCCCACTGTAACTCACCTGGTCCGTGTACACATCTGGTGGCACCATCTTATTAAAGAAGTCTGAGCACACAGCTCCTGCCTGGAGATAATAGTGAAGGGCTGCCGAGTACTGATTCGTTGCTGCAATGGAAAAAAGCAAAAGGAGGTCTTAAACAAAGCAGTTACTTCTAAGTCTCTTATCAATTGTTTATGGAAGTACTCAGATACAACTCCCTCACTGCTGAATTCTACTGGGAAGGCGACTCCCATATCACTGTTTAAAAAAACCCAACACAGAGGAGGTGGTAAAACAGTGATAGACAGAAAATCACACAATAAGAGCCAGCAACACAGGCAAGTTCTGCCTTTTGAGAATCACTGCATGTTTTCCAGGTACTGAATCTTAAATCCATCAACCTGAGAGTCAAGAAGTTTAACTCCCTTGAACTAAGCACGCAGGTAGTAGTAGAGGAGCTCAGTTGGTGCGAGCTGGAGGTGGCCGGCTGATGCCACCACACCTCATGGCTCTGTGCTAGTTTTACTCCCAGTAGGTTCTCACTGGGCTGACATGAAGGCAGCCTGCAGGGGCCACGTGGGGAGACCAATCTGCTTGTCCACATGCTTCTGAAACACAGATCTGACATGCAAGGTGTGCTCCAATCTCTGCTCTTTTGGGTGCCAGCTGCTGAGGCTCCCTGCAGAAACATCCTCCTCCTGGCATGTTGTTCCAGTTTGTACAAGCAGCAAATGCTGTCAGTTTATAACCCTGAATCACTCTCCCATGTATAAAGTGACAGTGTGAAACACTGGATTAAGACCCCTCCCTTCACCCCAAAGGTTATAAAGCATCTTCTAGATACTTGTCTCCTTTGGAAGAAACAGGCCAGGATTTCTGCAGCACATGTTACAGCACACCACAGACATGCTTCCAGTCCAAAAAAGAAGTGATTCAGAAACATGTGCCTTGTCTCCTCTGGTAGCGCCAGGGAGTAGATGGCAGAGGCACAGAATGTACCTGTTTGACTGCCAGTAAAGAACAGTTTGGCTGAAAAGCTAGATTTCCCTAGAGTGGTCCTTCAATGGATAACTTAAGTGGAAGAAACGGCCAGCTACCTTTGAGGATGGCTACGGCCATGGCCTTTGCTAGCTCATGCACCAGGTAGTACTGTACTTGTCCGGCTATCTTCTGAAAGTTCCTTCTTCAGCACCTGCCCCTCTGCACTCTCTACTCACACTACAAAGTAAGCCCCGGGGACTGACTCTGGAGTGGGGAATAACTTAACAGAGCACAGTATCACATAACCGGGGTAAGCGCTGCCCTGGTGCGGTCTGGGTGCATGTCACAGTGCCAGGGATCTGAAGCACTCCACATCCTGATCCTGCTGAGGAGCAAGGACAAGTACTGCAGAAGGGACAGGCGAGGACAGAAGGACAGGAAAGAGCTTCCCATCACAACCAATACCAGATCAGTTCATGCTTGTTTACCAGTCCTAGTGATCAAACACAGATCCTTTCCACTCTGCTTGGCTTCTGCTGCAGCAAAGCCCATCTCCACATTCAAAAGCAATCACTACTCACACAACTTTCCATTCACTTAATAAAAGACTCCGATGTTAGAAGCTTGCGTAATTACAGCCCTCAAGGACCAACTGCCCTAAAAAAAGTGAACTTAACGATGACTCTTACTTTTCCTTACCCTAAAAGCAAGCCCACTGGCAGCTTAGTCTCTCTGTGGGCTTAGACAACCTCCCAAACTCACCTACACTACTGCACCTGAAGATTTTAAACTCGTTTATCACTTAAGCTTCTTTTCTTAAGAGGAAATTCAAGAAGGGTTATGTCAAACGAGTCCTGGAGCAGCAAAGCACCCCTCACACATGCTAAAAATAGACACTGGTTTCACTTACCAAAATAAATATCTGCCTGAATAATTAACCAGAAGTGGTTGTTTGCGTTGATGGTCAGTGCGTAGCTCACCAGTTCTTTCACTGTCACAGCCACAGCTTCAAAGTCCACTGACTGGAGACTAAAGGATAAAAAAGGAAGAAAAATAATTCCCAAGTGACTGGTTTGGTTTTTTAAACACTAACCTCATTTCCCATCTAGTTGAAATCCAAAGCACCTCGCATTAAGCGTCAAGCAAAAATAACTCCAGGAAGACTTAGTGTTGACTTAAGACTACTGCTGAATTGTTTCACTGCAGCAAATCTGACAGAACAAATACACCCTTCACAGACTTGGACTGAACAATCAGAACCCTACCTGTGGCTGACAACACAAGAGGGTTCTGTGCAATAATACATCTTCTCAGTTTCAAGAACTTTGAAGACAACACCTGAAACCACTACATATTTATCACAGCATCCACATGAATGGCCACAGACAGAGATCTCTGGAAACTTGTGGAACTGGCTTGGAAAGGAAGGATGGGAACGGTTTGGCACACTGCTTGGGCAGCCATTCCTAAAGTTTGTGTGGAACCTCCAGTTTTGAAAACACGGGTTTCTCACCCTACTGCTGAATTCTGGTAACGCTGAAAACAACTTTCTTCTGCTTGACCTTATAATATGCACTGAAATCTACACCAGTAACAATGAGACTGTTCACTCAGACCAGTTAAAGACAGATTAACCACGCTGAGCATTACACTTCTCCCTCTCTCACAGGAATCATCTCTCCCAATGCATACAAAGAATCTAAACCAATGAGGTTCAAGCCCCACAGAGCCTTTAAACATCACTGGAGAAATACAGTTCAATCCAACCAGAACAAATCAATATATACTCTATGTCCCTTTGGCTACTATTCAAGCACACCTCAAAAATGTTAGTTATTTTGTAGTAAAGTATTATGCAGTTCACAGAGTTAAACGCAGCCCAGTAAAGCATGCAGCTAAAACAGCCCTCCGTTTCTTGTACCCACACTCCATCAGGACCATGAAATCAGGAGAAAAAACCTCCCTGCAATCAGGCCAACCTGCCCATGAGCAGCGTGGCGGTCAGTGATGCCCCGATAGGGCAGAAATCCCACTCACACCCAGTAACTAACACACAGCAACTGGAACCAAACCAATTATGTAAACACATATTCTGAAACCTGTATTTTTAGTTATCATCTTACTTGGGGATGGAGGAGGGCCAGATGGAAATGTGCTCTGCTGCAATATCATTCACTATGTCTTCCTAAGAGAAGAGAGACGTAAGAGAAATTATGGAGAGAGAAACCTTTCCAGGAAACAGAGTAAGATGTTTATGGTTTGTACTAACCCGAACATTATGAAGTTTGACAAATAGGGACAATATCGTGGTTAAAACCAACGGTTCCTGTAAAGGGAAAAAAAAAAGTAAATAGTATTCCCATGAACTACCAAAACTCCAGTTTCTTCCCTAAGCTATGGAAGAGGTTCTGACATCATTACCTTGAAATAGGGCAGTATTTTGTTAAGAATCCTGCAACACAAGGGTACTGTGAGAGAGTTGCTGCAGGAAGTCTTTAATTACTTCACATTTTCCCCAAACAACACCTTGGATATAAACTTCACTCAGGTTTTCCACAGGTTTCTGTCGTTTCTGTGGCTACTGCCTAAGCTTAAACTTAAGCTAGGTACATTACCACTGTCTAAGCACTTACAAACCCACAAGCTATGAACAATTCCCATTCCTCTTACTTCTGCTACTTTTATGATGTAATGCTTTGCTTTGGGACAGCTGTAATAAAATGCACTCCTAATGGTAACAGATCTCCACTGTCAGAATTCAGGGTAATTTTCTCACAGGCTATGCCACGCTGCTGTATGACAGGTATAGCAGATACAGGAGCTCTTCAGCCATACAACACACCTATAGGGCTGTCAGACTTTCTGGAATTTAAAAGGAAAAGTCCAGAAATATGTTCTATCAAAAGGAAGTTCTGGTTGCAAACACATTCTCAAGACCACTATAACTTACCCGAAGCTTTTTGATGAAGGACAGTAATTCACTCCTAAATTAAGGACACAAAACCCCGTGTAAGTAACTGTCCACAACAAAGAATACATGCAAAGTTTATATACTAAAAACTAGGTCAGTAAATTCTTCACCTGCCAAAACACCCCTTCACCTCTTAAGTTCACAAATGCAGGATACGTAAGTGAAAACACTCAGGCAGGTCACTCACTTCTAATACAGTCACTAGCAAGTTTTACTTTTACATTTAAAAGAGGTTAATGAAGAGGTATGTGTTATTCCATCAAGCTATAAAAGGCATGAAAATCACTTTGTAGTTAGTCAACCATTGACTCTAAAAGGGAAAGCAACTGAGATGTACTGGAACTCTTCAAGCTAGGATTGCAACGGTGACCTCCAGGCTTACAGAAGAGGGTGTGCACTGATCACTTATGATGCACACTGTTTCCTCATGATGCCACATGAGAATTGTCACCATAGAACAACCCAGACAAGCACAGCCTGTCTGGAAAAGGTTTCACTGCTTCTTTTCTGTAATAACAACAGGGTCAACACCCTTCACTACTTCAATCAGAGGGGTCAGAAGAGGTTCAGTATCCCAGAGTACACCTGTACTGCTTCCTTTTCCTTGTCAGAGTACAACTGAAACCTACAGCAAGCACGTACCCTCTCTCACCCGTCCCACCACAGGATAAGCAAAAGCAGCTGGTCTTTAGGTACACATTAACCTGATTAGCTCAAGAAAGGCAAAGAAACAGTCCATAGTTTGACAGGGGTGCCCCTTCCAAGTTTTTAACATGGAAAGCTGTTTGATATAATCATACATTCCAGAACTCACCACAACAGGCAACTTGTAATTAGGCTTCAACTTAAGAACAAGCTGAGAACACTCACTGAGAGGACAAATCAGAGTCCTGAATGAATCAATCCATCAGTCAGTGAGGCCAAGGCTGGCAGAGGTTAGGGAACCGACAGTGAAATTACTCCAGTCAATACTTTCTTCCTTTCCCTCTCCCCAGGAGCTCAGTGGAATGAGAATTTCATTTCAAGAATGAATAACATTTAGCTTTAAATTCAGAAACCTGAAGATACATGTAAACTCCTATGCTGTGAGGTAGGTATTTAATGCAGTTATAAGAGTAGTTAATCACAGAAGCCCAGAACACCAGGTTGGAAAGGACCTCAGCAACCATCTGGTCCAACCTTTCTTAAACCTTTCTTAGCAAAGCATGACCCCAGATGGCCCAGCACCCGGCTCAGCTGAGTCTTCAAAGTGTAATCCACCACTTCCCTGGGGAGATTATTCCAGGGCTTGATTATTCTCATTCTGAGAAATTGTCCTCGTGTGCAATCTCCCCAGCAGTACCTTGTACCCATTACCCCTCATCTTTTCCATGTGACTGACTCCTTGTAAAAACGGAGTCTTCACCTTCTTTGTAGCCACCCTTTAGCTACTGGAACATGGTAATAAAAGGTCTCCCCTGAGCCTTTTTTTCTATAGGCTGAACAAACCCAGTTCTCTCTCTCAGCCTTTCTTTATAAGGCAAGCTTTCCCAGTCCCTGGATCACCTTTGTGGCCCTTCTCTGGATCCTCTCCAGCCTGTCCACATCTGTTTGTGTATAGCAAGGTCCAAAACTGAACACAAAACTGAACACAGTCACAGTGAATGGAGCCTGCAGAACAATTCCAGTTAATGTAAAGCAGACACCTCCAGTTGGTCAGCTGAACTGCCCTCTAGATGCCACTGACTTTACTGGAAGATGTACACTGGTTATAATGGAGTACAAATACATATGCTCCAGTGTCTGTATTCTGACCTTAACCCCACACACTCCTTTTTCCTCCCTCCGAAAAGGAAAGGCAACACATCACCACTAATATCCAGCACTGCCAGTGGGGGGATTGTTTACTCAGGAGAGACCTTTTGCTGCTGCCACCACTCAGACAGTGGAATCCAGACAATTCCTGAAGGGAACATGGGTCAAATATACAATTCAAACAATCTTTAAAAATGATTTAAGACACACCTGTACATAATGCCCAGTGTAGACTCCCTGTGTTTTATCAAACTCACTCTGCCGTCATTCCCCCGTTTGTGCTGGTTGGATACACTGCAGATTTGTACCACAACTTCCCAAAGGTCTTTAGCTGTCCGTCTGCTTTCTTTGGGACCTGGAAGTTCTTTGCATGTAGCAGCCAGCAACTGCCCCAGCTATGCCATGGAAGAGAAAAAAATACAGTATGTGCAGCTTCTCTGGACCCTGGCTACAGCAAAGGAATTGTTGGCATTTAAAGTGCCTAAATAATGATTTTAAGTTACAAACTACAACGCAATGTGACTAAACTTTGCAGTCACCATTTCAATCAGAGGGGTCAAGGACATGATGAGGAACCTGGAAGACAGGAATTAAACAGCAGAAGAGTTATCCTTTTATTAGTTTCCTTAGGGTATATTTAATTACTACAGGTTCCAGAGAGCAAGCTTTACACTCTACTACAATGTACTGCATAAAACCCAAACCCCATGAAATACAGTTTTATAAAGACTGTCTCCCTCGAACTCCCTTAACTTTCATATAATAATCTGAACTGAAACTGGCACTCTGCTACACAGAAAAAGCTGAACTTCAGAACAGAAATTAGGAAATACCACAGGTAAGCAGAACAGGCCAAAAATGAACCTGTCCTGTAACATGGCCTATGTTCAGCTTCACTGCCAGACTCTGAAGCAGGAACAGTGCTGTAAAACCATTTTGAAAACAAAGTTTCCACAAAGGCAGTGCTTGAACGTCTCCAGAAATTCACACCTGGTGTTGGGTTAAAAAATGGAACCACTACAGAGCACTTGGAAAACAAGTGTCCTTGGAACAGAACAACAACCAGATATGAAGCCTGAGATCTGTACACTTCTCATTCCCCTCAGCTGGAACGCTCAGCCTCGATTCGTGTAGGAGGCGAGTCCTTTATGGAAGTGCTCCAGGGTTTCAATCATAACCACACACATAAGCTTGATACTTATGGAACCAAGCTCAGCTGGCAGCCAACAAGGGCTAAGGTGCAGCTTGTTTCATCTGCTCTTGCAGCACAGCCTTCATTTCTTTAGTGACCTGTCAAACACACTTGTTGCTAAGCCCTGCTGCCTTCTACAGCAGACCTGAGCCATGACAGCCACAAAACCCAACACTCTTGAGACAAAAGGGCACATGCTTTTGAAAGTACAGAAGACTTCGGCAGGAAAAAGTAAACTGCAGCCTGATAAAGCTTTGAGACTGAGCACTATTTACCTTCACATAAGGATTAGTTTGAACCAGAGGTAACGGAACTTGCATGGTCAAATACTCATTCTCACACCAGTTTAACAGGAAGGCAACACATTCTTCAGCTATAACTTGTCGAAGAGGAATATCTGGAAGAAAATGTGTTCTTTGCTTAACTTTTGGGGGATTTTTTTAGTACAGTGTTAAATGAAAACAAGCAAAACCCATTCCCCTTGATTAGCCATTTCTGATCCATACCCATCACAGAAAAACATAATGCTTAGCCCCACAAGAGACCTCACCTCTAAAAATCAGGAGCAACAACAGTTTCCTCTAACTACAACAGCACTACATTACTCCCTCAGCATGAAGCCAAGCAGACTGCTTTAACAATTAGCAGAACTCTTCAGGTAAAAATATGTTTTAACCTGCTCAAGCCCTTTAAGCAGCACTTAAGCAGTGTTTAGCAGTATGTAGGCATCATGATGTTGCTGTTCTCATTTCCAACTTTTAAGAACTAACCAGACTTCTAAAGCCTTACTAAACCCCATGTCAAACTTCACTACCGTTTTTCCAGCTACACATCTGAACAGAAAACCTACCACACAAAGTTGTTTTCTTTGTTCCTTTCTCAACAGCTTTGTACTTTACTGTGTCCTGGGAAAGACAGCAATGTACTTACCAGGAACTCTCATCTCCAAATATCCTCGGACTCTGCTGATAAGGTCAGAAGGAGGACGCTCTCCAGAAGCACCAGGTCCAGCTTCATGAGTGTAAATGTCTAAAAGTAGCATTTCATTCAGCATGACTTGGCGCAGTTTTGGAGAAAACTCTGTCACAAGCTCCAAGCAAGCAGCAAAAAGCTGTTTTGCATGGACAAAATCCTGCAATGAAAAGTATATGCATTGATGATTCCTAATGGCTTCATAAAGGAGAAGACTAAGAGTTAAAGTGCTGTTCAGCTCTCAATTTTTGAGTCCTATGGACTTGCTATTAAATCTTGACAGTTCCAAATTTTTCAAAGAAAACAAGAAGTTTAAGAAAAACCATACCAGAAGTAACTATTGTCATATTGGGTGCAGTGGGGTTTTTTATCTTGTAGTTTAGCAAGCTACAGTATTGTCAATTAAAGGGAAAATAAACGAACGTTCCAATAAATTCCTTATGTGAAACAGGGTTTAGATGCAACATGATTTAGTACATCATAATCAAAACTTCATATGAATGAAATAATCTCCAAGCCCAACTTGCTGGAAAGCCATTATCCTTACTCCACTCATGGAACTCTTGAGACATAAATATTCAATGCTTACACAACACACAGGACTTGTTACTACATCTCCTTCACACCCCAGTTTTACAATTCTTTTTCTCAAAAAGGGCTTTTTTCCATATATTCAGTCTTGCTGAAATTCAATTGCTCAAACTCACTCACCAGCACCTTCAGATGACTTGCTCACCTTAATCGCACAGCAGTGTAATCCCTTTGCCATAAGGATGTAGACCAAATCCCTAGTCAGACTGTCTTTGATTCCTAAAATAACATTGCCGTAAACATTTGGCACTTCCCACTGGGAGAGAAATACATAGGACATTTGCACAGAAACAGGTTTTAGAATTCACATCACTGCTTACATTATAAACAAAACTCAAACATTGAAAATTACTACCACCTAAGTGCCAAGTCCTTCATTTCTATACCTAATCACACGTATTGCTCTGGTGGAAGTTCAATAAGAAAGGCTGACTACCCTACTTTGCTCACACTCTGAATCTGCAATAATCGGGAGGGGGAAAAAAAGACAAGACATCCTTACTTAAAAAACAACCCAACCAATCTCTTCCTCTCTTCTGCTGACAGCTTTTGACAACAGGAATTTAATTTAAAGTAATCTTGCTGACAACTCAGAACACTGAAAGCAAAAGCTACAGGAATTTGTTTTCTCACAAGGGAAAAATAAACCACATTGAGGATCTGTGACAAAATGTTTACTGTTCACTGCAGCATGACACCTAACCAGTTCCTGAATTACACTCAAGAGCACATGAAGTGAATTACCTTATTTGAAATTGTCCAGAATTGGCGTTCTGAAGTCATACCATGCAACTCAATTAAGATCTGTCGAATCCTCCAAGGATCTACTGACAGTATGAGCTGATGTTCAAGCTGGCCAATATTGACACTTGGTGAAGCTAGAAGTAAAGCAATCAGATCTCCAGCACATTCCTTCTTAATGCAGATGCTTACATTTCTTTAGTATGTTAAGTATTTACACGTAACTCAGTAAGAACAGCGGATACATTGATGTTTTTGAAGGCCTCATACATTCTTCTGTGCCCTTCCACAAACACCATGTGCTAGCTTCCCAGATTCCCTGACCTGAAGAGCTACTTTCAATGCCCCCTCTTCTCACAGCAGCAGCTCTGAGTATTCTGTTACCCTTGCTGCAGTAAAGCAGTAAGAAGTGTCTCTATACTGCCTTAGTGAAAATATGTATTTTCACAACTGGTTTAAGTCAAGGCAAGGCCAGTTCTTTCCAGCTTTAGTCACCAAAGGGCACCTCTTCTGTCAGCTTTGACTTGTGCAGCTGCACAGCCAGCCAGCTGACCTGGGAAATGAAACAACTTGTTTCACTTTGGGAAGTTTAAAACTTCGTCCAGACATTACTCCTGGTCCAGCTCACCACAGTCACACAAGCATTAGTGCTTGTCTGAGGCCAGAGGCAGGGTGCCCTGTCTGCCAACAGCTAGAACAGCCAGATTTGGTCCAAACCAAGTGTCACATATCTCCTTCACTTGGTTGGATGGGGCTTTGAACAACCTGGTCTAGTGGAAGGTGTCCCTGCCCATGGCAGGGGGTTGGAACTAGATGAGCTTTAAAGGTCCCTTCCAGCCCAAACCATTCTATGATGACACATTAATTGGAGCCTATTATATTCAGCTGAAATACAAGCAAATAATAGCCACCTTCTTGAACAAGCACGACATTCACCAAATAAAAATGTATTCTCTCCGAAAACATTCTCTCAAACTTTTCCTGAGAATAGACCTGCACATAGTAACTTCAAACACGGAAACAGGTCACTGCCTGTATGTAAGTTAATGGAAATGCTGTGAAAACTACCTGGGATGTCATAAAAAGAAGCCACAGGTTTTGTGCACAGGTTGATCCGAGGCGATCTCTTCCGCATTTGATCAATGAGCAGCTTCCGTTCATCATCTTTCAGCAGTTTTATGAAGAGCTCATGAGATGAAATCATGAAGACAAGCTGAAGATCTTCCAAACCCAAACACAAGTTTCTAAACAAATGAAAAATTTAATACATAAGCAAGCAGGAAGAAGCTGCTTATTTTCCAATTGTAAGTTCTCTGCTATAATCATTTATTGTGCTGTATTACACTGCTTTCCAAGTGTGAATTCATGTTATCTGAGTATGGGTACATACTTGAGAAATGCTGCCATTTTTCTCTTCAACACTTCAGAAGCATTTTCCAAGTTTAATGATCTTGAACAAACCTGGGGAAGAAAGCAGAAAATAAGTAAGCAGCCCCTTAGAACATTTACAACTAGTTACAGACAGCATTACTACCCAGTTTTCTGACTCATAATTAGCATCAGCCAGTAACTCCCTCTCTGAGGTGAGGCAGCAAAGTTACCTGATAAACACTGTAGCCATCACAGATGGATCAGTTTCTTTCAACCTGCACATGAGACAGGCTGTTCCTGACAACTGCCATCTTCCCACAGATTCACACTCCTTTTTCCTATTCCTCTAATATTTAGGTGTGCTGATGCTGAGTGCCGTGGTCACAGTCAGCCTTACAAGATCATTAAGTAACAAAGCCCTTCCACAGGGATTTAAAAATGAACCAACATTTCTAAGTGCAAATCCATAAAATTCACTAGGACTAACAGTTAAAAATGCAGCAGTTGAAAGATAACTGTCTTAGAGGATTTGTTTCTTTGTTCCTTGAAAACAAACATCTAACAATATCTCTTATGTAGTTCAGTGATGTCAAGGAATAGCAGCAATTTTAAATCCAATCTGAAGCTACAGGTCAACTCCGGAAACATGTTCCCCAACAGATGGAAATGAAGGTATAAACATAGATGCAAGACTGATCACAGAGTGTGACAGTTTGAGAAGTTACTTTACAATCAACTTTCTTGCAGTTAGTACAAAGTATTTCTCCCTGCTTAAGAAATCTGAACATTCCTTGCAACAATAATACTGTTATATGAGGAAAAAGGTATCTCGCTAAATACTGTTTCCCCTTCTAATATCAGGTAATTTCTTTTACCTCAAGGAGGAAGTCTATTTTCTCTTTGCTGGGTTTCAGGAACAGCTGACAAAACTGAACATCAACTGTTCGACCCTGCAGTACATCGCAGACTGTGTTGCACACACAGACTTTGAAGCAAACTTCATCCAGATCGTCATTCCTGCATGAACACAAAACTGAAGATTATGGAACGTCTCTGACAAACGGAACTGATAACACAGCTGACATTCCAAAAGACTTCAGGAATATTTGTGCATCTCAGAATACACAATCACTGTACAAAAGTCAAGACGAATAACCAGAACATATACCTTCCTTCTCTTATTCCTTCTCTGCGTGGCTTGACTAGATTGCAAAGTCATGCTCCTCCATCCTTCTCTGTCTAGTACTCATCCCTGAAGGTGCTCTGTATCAGCCATATTAGAGATTAAAACACCCCTAGACAGCGCTAAGCTACAGCCTCTAAGATTCTCTTAGAAGAGACACTTATTTGACTCCTCTCTGGCTGATGTGAAAGCTAAATTCAGCCACTACTAAGGTTTTACACAAGAGGCTGTCACCATCAATACGTCTTTTTTCTCACGTGTAAAACTGCGCCTCTTACTTCTTCAACAGAAATACCTGTAGGCAGCTTCTCTTCACAGAATTATCATCATGAATATATGGAGATGCTTTCCACATAGCCCTGATTCAAGCGCCTCAGCTCCACAGAAGGTTGAATTTTGGATGCAGCCATGTGCTTAACACTTCTCAGCTGGGACCCATCCACAAGCTGCCCTCGTCATGTGCCTAGTTCTCTCTGCTTATTGTCATTTTTTTCTTACTGTAAACATACCATCCTACTCATTGAGCCCTGGGCTAGTTCAGCAGTGCACAAGGCTCCTAATCACAGTTAACTGCCAGCATTCCTAACAAAGTACACATCTCCTACAGTATTACTGCTCAGTATGGTTAACCTGACCAGCTTTGCCTTCAAGTTTTAGAAAACCTCTAAAAAGCCATCAGTTATAAATTTTTTTT